CCTCTATCACATTTTAATTTTTCTGATAAAAAACGAGAATTGGTACTTTAGTACCTATATGACATAAATTAGGATTGATTGACGTATTCAGTTGTTTTTGGTCTCTTCTTGTTTCACCGGGAATGACGACAACTTTTTATTTACCTCCGTATTGTTTTACTTTATTCGATAGAAAATAACAGTCTGAATAGAATAAGATATCATGTTATGTCAACTTTTGAAATTTTCGGATATGGTTTAATTGAAGCCTTTTTTGAGACACACCCGGTATACTTTTGGGTCTTTAAAACATCAGTATGCAAAGGAGTGTGACTTATGGCACACTAATAAACCTGGATCTCGTGTATCATTACATGATGTCGTAGAAATATTTTCAAAGGCATTTGTTCATGCTGCCACCTTGGAAAAAGCCATAGATAAAGGGTTTTCAAACGACAGGAATTTATCCCATTCGATAATAAAATATTTGCTGACGAATATTTTCTGTCCGCTGAAGTTGCAGACGCCCCGATACAGCAAGAATCCCAGAGGCCGATCGCTGCCGCAAATGTTTTAGATGAGGATGATCACCAACCTGAACCTCAAAACGTGTTCAAAGAACCACAACCGAGCTGCAGTTACACTTCCTTCAAAGATGCTATCCTAAAAATTTCTCCAAAGCCAAACTCAGATGCCCGTAAAAACAAAACTCAAAACCCACAGAAGGTAAGAGCTCAGCGTGCTCAAGAATTAACAAGTTCTCCATTTAAGGACCAGCTTATGATCAAAGAAGCGGAAAAAAAAAACAAAATACCAAATCAGCTAAAATTACATACACCGTATGATGAAAAAAAAACGGCGTCCAGTTGGCTGGGAAATGACGATCGATGACATTTCCCATATAAATTTACATGACAGCGATCTTTATTTCATAGCCAACGCTGACGCCGTTTTTTCTCAATCATACGGTACTACCGTATTTAATTTTTTTGAAAAAACGCGCTATGTTTGTTAAATTGTAAGAAAGCGCCCCCTAGCGTCTACGTTCAAAACCTTATTATTATTATTTTTATGGTATAATATAGAATAAGAAACGCTCTTTTAAACAATAAGCCCTTGTTTGTTCGATTCTGATCATCCAGTCCGGATTTATTAACATTTAAATAAAGATAAATCTAACCTTTCCCCACCACTTTATTTTAGCAAATAGGGGAAAATGGTTCTAACAAAAAAAATCCAAAATATATTGAAGATTATGAAGCTATTATTTATAGTACCCATTATCTAGGCAAAATTCTTTAAAAATTTTCTTATTTTCCATAGCAGTTGCGCCCTCTAGAGGCCGATTTACAAACTTGAAAATAATTTCCAACAATTTCTCATAGCCCCTTTAGTTAGAATATTTTTTTCCGTAGGCCCTACGGCTAATACTTTCCGATATACAGCAGAGAGCTATTCTTAGTGGGACACCCTGTACACTAAAAATCCTTAAGCGGTCCTCTGTGCCCCCTCCTCCCCTATTGCAAACCATCAGCCATAAAATTGAACAAACAGTTCACCCAAAGTTAAGGCAAAAAGCCTTCCTAACATTCCAATTCGTGACCTGCTTCATTATATTTATGTAGATGGGACAGTAATTAAGACTTAGTAATTAACAAACTGCTTTATTGATAAGGTCCCTTCGACCATTTAATTTCACACTCTGTGTAGCCCGCAATTACTGGTTCTGTCTACTGGACAATATATTTTGCCATCCACTTAAAAACCATCGGCAATTTGAAATTTAAATCGGGAGAGTCTGCTTTAATAATAAACCGCATATTTTTCAACGACAGTATATAGCTGTGATATAGCCACAAACAGCTTTTTTGTACGTGTATATTCCGGTATAAAAACATACAGATATTGAGTATTTGCATAAAAAAATTAAACATCACATCGGGATAATGTTTTAACTATCAACCCTGTGTGTGCGTAAACTTTCAGTAAAAATAAAAATAATTATCGATCAGGCTATAACAGTACACATATTAGGGTGCACCAAAAAAAAAATAGTTTCTACTAAATATATTCACTTACCCCAGGTTTTTCAATATGCAGGAACAAAGACACTCACTATAAATAAATTACCCCCCCCCTCCCCTGTTCAGTATTCTTATAAACTTCCCCTAACTTTTAAATATTTTCTTTCAGTGTTATTAATTCATCAAGTACTAGCTCACTACCACTTCACAATAATGTCTGTGATAATGTTAAAACTATTATTTTATTACATAATCTGCAAAACGAACTTCTAGAAAAAACACAACTGGAAAACAATTTTGAGCGTTCGCTAACTGTCAATGCCAAAGCCAACTAACAACAATCTTAACCGTTTGCTCGATTCTTTGAATTTTACCGATTTCAGTTCCACTGTTTTAATAGAAAAACATTTTTTTTATTAATAATAAGGTAAAAAAATAAACGTAATGCTCAAATAGTTTTTTAAATAAAAAATGTCTATACCTATATACAGTTTTTTAAATAACGCGTCAAACTGAATTAATTGTTAAAATTGAAAATTTAACAACACTATCGGCAATTTGATATTAGATATATTGCATATCCAGTTACGTCAAATGAAAATATTTGACAGGCTGTAAAAGCAAAGCAGTCTATGTTAACATTTTATTTAATTTTATGATTCTGATGGCATATTTAAATAAGTTATTTGGTTTATAGATAATTATGTACGAATTTGGTTTGAAAAACTCCGATATAAAAAGTATTATATAAAAAAACACATTTTTCAATAAAATAATATACCGGGTGCGTCTCAAAAGTGGCTCGCCCCTATAACTTTTTTATTTTTTCAGTTAGAAAAACGAGATTTGGTATGTTACTATATGAGATAAATTAGAATTTATTGACGTATTCAATTGTTTTCGGTCACTTCCTGTTTCACCGGAAATGACAACAACTTTTGATTTTTAAATGGCATCCTAGGAATTTTTTTTACTTCATTCGATAGAAAATGACACTCTGAATAGAATGACATATCATATGTCAATTTTTAACATTTTCGAATATGGTTTATTTGAATTTGTAACAAGTGGTTCATAATGACAATTTGAGTCGAAATACCAAGTGTGTAGTATCAAATTATTCGTAAAAAAGTTTTTTTCCAAATATGCTAATGAGACATCCTCGTTCTATTTGAAAAAGTTGAGATATGATTAAAACTACGATTTGGGTATCTTTTAAACGACCAGGACAAGGCACAAAAGATTAGACGATCAAATCTATTTTCCAAGGCTCCTTGATTACAAATTAGTGTTTTAGCCAAATAATTTAAATAGCCATGGCACACTAGATTGAAATTTAAAATACAATTTTTTATTAAGCGAGAATGTCAGAAGTTGACATAGATTTTTTAGATAATTATGTACGAATTTGTTTTGAAAAACTCCAATATAAAAAGTATTAAATCAAAATAAAACACATTTTTCAATAAAACAACATATATATTACAATAATAAACACAGTAAATCAACAACAAATAGCCATATTTATTGGACCATTAATATTTTGTATTTACAATTTTCAGTATTTAAACATTGTTAGACTAAATGTTACGGAAATAATGTATATATACAGCTTAATAACAACAATAACAAATATAACAATGGCACAAATCCTAAATTCTATAAAATAAATAATAAAAAACTTAATACCCTGTTATGACTACATTAAATTTATTAGTCCAAAGGCAACATCTAGTTTACACACCCTGTATATCGATAATTATAATGGAGTAAAACAGATCTGGAATACGGTGTATACAGTATGGTTTTATTTATTTCTGATATACTATTTTGGATATGTAAGAAGTAAAAATAATAATAATCAGGTTTTTACTCAATAAATCATACCTCTTATGGATATGATGTAGTTAGAATAAATATTTTAAATATATTTAAGTTTTTTCAGAAGATAGCATATACAATATGATCGAAAAAAAAAAACGTCAACGATTGCTATGAAATCAAGATCTCTGTCATTTTATATGTAAAATTATATGGGAAATGCCATCGGTTCGTAATTTCCAAGCCAACTGGACGCCGTTTTTTCTTTCGATCATACGGTATAACGTATCTAAAAAATGACATCATTGCAATTATGATAATTCACATTATATTAATTGAGATTTTTAATGCTGATAATTTAATGCAAAAAAATAATAAATAATTATAATACATAGTATCTCAAAATAACAAAGTTGCTGCAAATACACGCAACAATAAATCTTAAAAGATAAATGTTTTTAATTAAAAGGTAAAAAACAGTTGTATTTCAATCTAATGCCCTCTATTGCAAATTTTAAATCTTTAAAGCATCAAAAATGCAAAAGACAAATTAATTTTTATTATCCGCTACTGTTCTAATTCATAAGAGAATTAACAATTCTATACAATAATTCATCTTGTTGAATTACATCTAATAGAAAGCAAAAATGACTGAATTTCTTTTAATTCGCTAAAATTTAATAAAAAGCAACGCAGATCTAGTCAAATTTCTTCGGCTATGTTAAAATTCTAAACTAAGTTTTCTAGAGACATTAGTTTTAAAATTATTGTGAATTAGTTTAGGTGAACACTAAATCATTAAGAAGTTACTTTAGTACGTCATATATAGACTAGTTTTAGGCTAGAAATTATTATGTAAATAGACTAGATAAAATTACTCTCAAATATGTTCGCCTCAGAGTAGATATTTTTTTAATAAATTTGAACTTACTGAAACTGTTTGGCTAAATGTTGACAAGAACATCTCATGCATTAATGAATCTTTTTCGATAATTTGAGTTGCGTAAATTTTAATTATAAATTATCTGTAATTACAACATTAAGATTTGGGTGAACAGATATTAATTTTATTATACAAACATTTAATAACAAAATTCAAACACAAAATTATAGACCACGAGAAAATTTTCTGTCTACTATAATCGAAACAATGTTTTCTTTAATTTTTTTAAAAGTAAAGTAATGAATGTCTGAAGTTTAGTGCTATTCAATTATCCTTAAATATCACATCAAAGTCTGAATGTTTAAAACCACATATACTCAAATATACAGGTTGTTAATTGTTCATTACTCGCGGCAAGAGATTTAAGGTTGAAAAAAAGACAAAAAAAACAAACCAAACCGCGCGTCTATAGAGCGAGACGCGACGACGGGACCAGTCGGCAGATAAATCAATAATGCATGCGTTTTCAATAGGCAGTGTTGCCATTCTCTTCCCCTATAAGTAACTGTCGAGTTAACAACCTGTATATTTAACTTCAACAAGAATTACAGTTAGAAAAAAATACCATACCAAAGATTTTTAGGCCCTTCACAATTTCAGAATACAATTACTGCATTTTTTATAATTATTTAAATTTTTGTTTTATAAGCCAAATATTTGCAAAAAAAATAAGTTTTGGAAGAATGAATGGTAAATCTTATTTTGTAAATATCTCTAGACTTAGCAGATCAACATATACCAGCCTGAACACTTTATCTACGTAGTCTGTATTTTAATACAAGCCACAGAGATAAATGTAAATGACCGGTTGTTAGAGAGACAAAATAAAAGCGATATACAGTGTTGTCGGTTTTTTACCTGTGTAGAAAATAATTAACTGTTTTAAAAAGTTTAATGTGTATTACTGAAATGAAGATAATATATCTAAGCTAAATATAATGTTTTACAGATGTAGTAAAATGAGTACCTAACTAATTGTGAAAAATAATGTTCCAACCAATGACTAAAGAATTCAAGGACAAATAACACCCGAGAGCAAATTGCGACGATGTCACCAAGCAGTGCCGTGGGACATACTTTTCTTAATTGTTTGAAGACATTTATATTTTTTGATAATTGTTTTAACTACCCCTATGGTGTATACGGTGGTATCATACTAATTAATTATGAAAAAAACGTATTAAAATGTTAACAAAAGGTACAAAACTAGTATCGACGTATAGCACACATATAATATCAGAAAAATAATTATCGAATTCAATAAGAAAACTAAGAAAACACTAAAAAGGTGGAGCAGACTGTTTATTTATCTATGAAACGTAACTCCTGGCTCTTTCTTATCGCTGCGGCTTTTTCACTTGAAAGCTGAACAACTAATCGCCATTGTAATAAAGTTTATACAAAGTTCACTATATACAAACTATTAAAAATCGCTAAAAGTCGCTGATGACTCATTCGTCGCCATCAAAAAAATTGCATCTAATGTCACAAATTCTGCTGCAGCCCGTATATGGGCGTTACATGTCCTTATATTCTATAGTCATTGGTTCCAACCCAAGATGACTGAATTTTTGTCGTAAACGCCTACTTGTGCGGTTTGAAACTTTGATGCAAAATCCGACAATACCGCATAGAAGAAATGTATCAACCGAATTTTTATCCCTTTTTAATGCATTTGATCTTTCATTAAGCTGTCTTACATGTTAAAATCCAGACCACGCTTTTCGGTATGTATTTATAGGCCCCATGTTACAGATATTTATCTCATTAGAAATTTAACTAGGAAAGAATGATACGCATCCATTCATAGAATAAGTTAATCCACCAAAAAATATGCCTCGGAAAACTAAGTTCCTGACTTATACTTATCCGAAAATATCACATCAAACGTTTAGGCATTTCAGTTAATACAGGTAAACATCCAAACATCAAACACTTTTTTTTACATTCTTTTTTCTTAATAAATCAATCCATTATTTTTAAATATAAAGTGTATTTCATATTTAAAATATGAAATACACTTTACATTCTATGTGATGACTGACGCTGACTTAAAATATCACTAAAAAATCGTATTCTCACTCTATACTTCTTAGAATTATCCAACAATTTTCCTAATAATAACAATAAATTTTCCTAGGCATTTTTGCATTGACAGTCGCTTACTAAAGCCAGGCCCATAGCTGCTCCTTTGGCTGCGTCACCGCCTTTCGTGAACACTAGAGGGAGCTGATAGAGATGTTGCACCTCCTTTTGGAGGACGATGTTTCGAGATAGGCCTGATCCATTACCTACTATCCGTTTTATTTTGGCTTCTTGTAGAACTTCTTTAGGCATCATACTAAAATTAATTTATTTTTTTTTAATTAAAAGCATTAGAAACAAATTTGCATTGAATAAAAAGGTCATGATGCTATATGATAATGGAACTATAACATGGTTGACAATTCCTGTTTATCACTGACGTTCTAATTTTATTTATATAAATAAAATTAGAACGCTTAACAAAGTAACAAGAATTCAAAATTGCCAAGCGAAAACTTACCAAACTAATAAAAGTGTTAGTCTTTTTTATTCAATGGTTAACAACTTAAAAATATCAAAATATGGAATGTAGATAATAAATAAATATATTGTTACCTATGTAAATTTTCTAATAATCCTCTACAGAGTGCTCTAAAAACTTGTCCTAGTCCTAAATTTCCTACATTTATATTTCGTATGGAACCATAAGCTTCAGGTGCGTGCCTTTCACCCAGGCAGGTAGGTACTATAACTAAATTGGATGCCGCACTGTCATCTTGACTTAGAGTCAGTACTTTCTCCCAAACCTTTGCTAGAAATAATTAAAAATAAATAATACCAACTATGCTACTAAAATTTCTTATTAAACAAGAACGATGAACCAAAACATAATATATTAATCATTCTAAATAGCATGTTTGATTTGCACATCAGCTATAAAAAATATTTTGGTGTAATACGGTTAAATGGTAAAAAAAATATTTATTATTAATTGGAATGGAATGTTTGGAATACTATAAAATATAATGGTGCGTTTAGACTTGAGCACGCACGAGCTGAGCGTGCGCGCACGGCATTCGTTCGCGTTCTCGGCTCCGTTAAAATTAAAAACTTATTTTTCGACGAATGAAGTGATCCATTTGTGCGCGCACAGCAGAGTTGTGTTGGCGAAAATAATGGACGACCAAGAAATAGGCGACGCTGTAGTCATTGTTATGCACAGCTTAATTATTAAAAAGGAGAAAAATCGAAAACATCGTCGCTGGGGCAAACCCAAATTTTTAGAAATCGATATAATTTACTGCAACAACTTAGTGTCTGAGGAGGGCTATGATCAGTTCAAAAACTTTACAAGAATGACCAGACCCGACTTTGAATATTTACAAAATTTAATAACACCAAAAATTACGAACAAAAGATACAAATTTTAGAATAGCAATTTCATTAATATCGACATATTCAATATTAATTTTATTTACAAGACCTTGCCATACGTTTTTTGGATTTTTTAAAAATACAAAGAATGTTTAACACACCATAATATAGGCAACTTTTTATATTCTTCAATTAATAATAACGAAGATTCATTGATCCACTCCTTAATTTTAATAAAGGAAACGAAAAAAATCACACACGCATGCACGATCGCAGACAAAACAAATTGCCGGTGCAAAATGAGCGTTCACGCACACATAAAATCCCTTTGAGCACGGACCAAAAACCGACACCAGACGGCTCACGTTCGCGGCTACTCCCGCACAGACAGATTCAGAGTGAGCGTGCACGCACAGCCGTTTACACTTGAGCATTCGCGGTGGATCAGTGCGTGCGTGCTCAAGTCTAAACGCACCATAATATTACAAAAATAAATGTTTATGATTTTAAATAAATTGTTTTATAAAATGTTGATTTATCACATAAAATACAGAAATAAATGGCATTTGCATTATTGATGCTCTTGAGTGATCAATAAGTTTGTAGTACCTGTAGCATCTTGCTATAACAATTCAAATTATCACGTTTTTGCGATGTCTCTGCGAATAATTCCAAAGTGATCAATTTTTAGGGTTCCGTACCCAACGGGTAAAAACGGGAACCCTATTACTAAGACTTCGCTATACGTCCGTCCGTCTGTCACAAAGGGCTATCTTATGAACCGTTACAGCTAGACAGTTAATTTTTTTACAGATAATGTATCTATGTAGCCGCTATAAGAGCAAATACTAAAAACAGAATTAAATAAATGTTTATAAATAAAAAAGTATTTTCACTAAACATTATCTTTTAAGTAAGAATTTTACATAGAATCTTTCAAGTCCTCGGTGGCCGCGTGGTTAAAGCGTTAGGACTTTACGCTGCTATGACGTTGGAGCCGTAGTAAGGAAGGTTCGAATTCTAGTCAAGGCGACTTTTTTTAATCGTTTTATATTAATTTTTACATATTTATTTTTACTTTTTACATATTTATTATTGATTAATACAATTTTTAGTACTTAATGTGTTTCTTCATTTTTTTTTAAATTACTTATACGCGCATTCAAAATTTCAGCTAAGTCGGAAAAAAAAGTTTATAATAATAAATGTTGCATAGATAATGAATGCTACGGCGAACCCTTGGTGCGCGAGTCAGACTCGCACTTGACCATTTTTTTTATATTTTGATGTATTTTAAATAGACGTGATGCTACAGATCTACAAGGTGTGTCAAAATGTTTGTAGCATATTACAAAAATCCTCTACAGAATACAAAAACTGAAGTTATGTCGTTCGACAAAATATCGAAAAAAGCTAGAGGCAAGCTATTTAGGATATAATATTACGTATAATGTTGAGAAAATATCAACTTTTTACAAGGATTTTTATAAAATCTTATTTTTTTGCAGAATCGAAAAACGATATTTTTAATGCCCCTGTATATTCATGAAACCAATTGGTACATAGAGATAAAAACAAACTCTAAACGACTTTTTTATCGACATGTTCAAGAAATTCCATATATTATTTAGCCGACCATACCAACAGGTATGATAGGCTATTCAGATCAGCAAAAAAAAGTTTTTTTAATTTCACTCAAAATGAGATGTTTGGGTCGTAAATGACCTAAATACAAAATATTTTCATGGTGTCTGTCTGTCTGTCTGTCCGTCTGTAACACGATAACTCAAAAAGCGCAAAACCGATTTTAACCAAATTTGGCACAAAAATACTGTGGCACCCGACCTGGCCATTAGTTTTTGGTGGGGGTGGAGGGTTGGTAAGGGGGTATGGGAGGGGGTTAAAAATTTTAAAAAATCGTAACTTCAAAATTACAGTAGCTAGCGAAACGCGGTATTCAATTTAAGATTAGGAATAATATTTGCAATAAAATTTGTAATGACATCAAAATCAGTCCAAGTCGCAGTTTTTGATATATTCCGTGTTTCCGTAGTCCGTTTTTAAGAAAATCCGTGTGGAGAACTCCAAACTCCCATCGGACGCGACCCCAGGTGGCGGATAGGGGAAATAACCGCGGGCCAAAATTGGAAAAATTCCTTTACTTTGAAACTAAAAGAACTGCCTACCAACTTTTTATTAACATATTTCATATGGGCGGCTATACGGGCCTCCCGGCGCTAATTTTTTTTTTAATAACTCTATAATAATAAAAAATCCAATTTGTTACGAACTTTTGGTGCACACACTGTATATTTTAAATTACAAATATTTATTTCTAAATAAATATCAAAATAAAAATAAAATTAAGATGAACGAATGATGTAGAGGGATTATCAAAAGCTATAATATACAGGGTGGCGCACCTCATTCGCCTCGGTTGATTATACGAAAACGGAAAGATGTAGAAACCAAATATTGTATGAGTATATGCGGGGAGGGAGTGTGCACAATTTAAAATTATTTTGAAATGTACAGGGTGTTTCAGAACTAAGATCCATACCAAAGTTATATTTTTTCTTATGGAACACCCGGTATTTTATTTCATTTTTGGATTCTTGGGCCCAAAAAAAGGTATTTATTATAAGGGTTAAATATGTTTAAAATCCTTGGTTTTTGAGGTATTTAAGAATATTTAAAAATGCATGCTACATTAGAATAGACTATTAACACCCTGTACATTGCTTTTCAGAACTAATTCCTGTGCTGACTTTTAAGCCAGAGAAATAAACTTTACTGAAAAATTTAATTCCTTCGTTTAATGTATACAGGGGTATCAAAAATTGCTGGTCTATTTTAAATATTTATTTTACATAAAAACCTCGTTATTTCACATACAACACCCTGTATTTTTTCAAATAAATCGAAGCAGATTCAAATGCTCTTTCAAACTATATTAGGGCTTCTTATACCTATCTAGCTCAGATTTTGAATAAAAAGCGATTTTTCAATAAAATGGCAATCAAGATGGCTGGTTTAGCTATGGCAATTTTCTGGTTAAAGCTAGTAGGTAACTCTTTTCAAAATCGATATTAGTTTGTGGACATTATTATTTAGATTTATAACAGTTTACTTAAATTTAGCTACAATAGTTTAATACTTATTAAACTTCATTATTCATTATTTTATCAAGAAAATTAAAGCAGTATCTGCTGGCGGAACGAATGGATATGTTACTAGCGATTTTACTTTGTGACAAAAATTGTTTCTTCGCATCAAGAGCCTATGCTCAAAGATATCCAAATAGGAATTAAGCGTTCCTTGAAAATATACTTTTCTATTTCGCAGAGCTATGGTAGTGTGGTTTATAAAAAACCTATTAGGCAGAAACCTGTCGTTGGAAGTAAAGAAAATGAATTTGTCGTAATTGGTTCTTTATAGAAAATCCATATATCTACGAGTGATCATAAAATAAAAGAGAGAACTACTTCTCCCCGTTTTTCTTGAAAGAATAATAAATACATATTTAATAAACATTATTTATTAAACTACTGTAGGCAAATCAAATATAAGTAAACTGCTATACATTTAAATAAAGTCCATAAACTAATTTCGATTTTGAAAATAGCTACTAACTGTCACTAGAAACTTGACATCAGCCATCTTGGTTCCCATTTTATTGAAAAATGGCTCTCTATTTAAAATCTGAACTAGATAGGTATAGGAAACACTTATATAGTTTGAAAGAGCATTTAAATTTGCTTCGATTTATTTAAAAAAATACAGGGTGTTGTATTTGAAATAACGAAGTTTTTATGTAAAATAAATATTTAAAATAGACCAGCAATTTCTGTATACATTAAACAAAGCAATTAATTTTTTTAGTAAAGTTTATTTCTCTGGCTTACAAGTCAGCACAAGAATTAATTCTGAAAAGCAATGTACAGGGTGTTAATAATCTATTCTATTGTAGCATGCATTTTCAAATATCTTTAAATATCTCAAAAACCAAAGATTTTAAACATATTTAGCCGTGTGTTTCTACATGGGTGTTCCATAAGAAAAAACACAACTTTGGTATGGATCTTAGTTCTAAAACACCCTGTACATTTCAAAATAATTTTAAATTGTGCACATTGCCTTCCCACATATACTCATAAAATATTTCGTTTCTACATCTTTTCGTTTTCGTATAATCAACCGAAGCGAGCGAGGTGCGCCACCCTGTAGATTCTAAAATAAAACTGATTTAATGGTAGATTAATTTAAAAACGCTTAAAAAAATGATAATCTCATCGACTTTTTTCAAGCATCAATTCATATTAACCTCTATATAATTTCAATGTAATTTGACAGTGTATTAGGTAGACAAACATTAGATAAGAATCGCTATTTTGAAATCCCATATCAACTAAATAATTTACTTATATAAAATGATTGATTACTCCTAGTTTATTTAAGTAGTTATAATTTAAATTTTTACACGATCGAAAAAAAAAACAGCGTAAAAGTGGTTTTTGATATGACAATTGATGACACTTTATGTCGAGTCGGCCTATAAATCTCATTTATTAAAAACTGACATAAAATCATGTCGAAAAATTCCATCCTACATCAAAATACAATAAATTATAATTAAATAAATGCCTTTATAGCTAAAAAATTTTACAATTTGTAGACGAAGGTAAAGTAAACAAACAAAAGAGAATACAAAACAAGTATACAAATTACATCGTCAGTCTTATTGTTTAAAATAAACATTTATAAATGTTAAAAATGTCAAAGAATAAAAAAAAAATTATTCAAAAATACTTAGTTAATATAGTAATAGCAAATATTAGACCAGTGTTTACAAGATCAAATTCGATTATCAAAATATAAGTCATTTACGGCGTAGAAAGCCTTGTTTAGTAAATAAGATTTCAATGCTTTGCGAAATGAAGAAAATGATGTTTTGGATTTGATTTCAAATGGCAGGTGATTGTGCATTTTTTTCGAGTTGATAATTTGAACTTTTAATTAACTCTGAGCGTGGTGTAGGTAGATAAAGATCTTGCTCCGCGTTCACGGATTCAAATATAAATAAGGAAGGAAGAGTTAATATTTTTAATTTTTTAAAAAGTCCCGGCAATGAATTATGTTGTTTAGTCCCAGTGAATATCGAACAGCTCTCATCTGGAGCTTGAAAATGCGATCAAATTGAGTCGCACAACACGTACCCCAGAATGGAAGAGCATATCTGAGGTGCGACTCAAAAAGTGCATAATAAAGGCAGAGCTTAATGTTTTCGACATAGCATAGCGCGTCGATATGCATGTCCCATTTCAGAGAATTCACAAAATTTTCAACAAGCCCTAAGACAAGTACTAAGATTTTTACAGATTTTACGTTAATGGTGGTGTTGTTAAGTACAAAAGGCTAAATCGAGTTTTTGTACGACAAAGCTTTAGTTTTAGAAATGTTGAGACTCAGGAGGTTGGAATCGCACCAATATTTAATGGTGATTAAGTCATTTGATATAATCCTATAAAGTGGCGTGACGTCATAGGCAGTCTTCTTCATCAGTCGCTTAGCAGTGGAAGGATATTTTGGCAGTACGTGTACATTTTTTACCCGAGTGAGACACCCTTCGAGATTATATATAGGTCTAAAATTGCATTTATCTCATCAAGGAGATAAAATAATCAAGAGACAAATAGTAAAATTATGTAGACAGTTTACTACATAATTTTGCTAACAAGAGAAAAAAATTCAGTGGTCCACATGTTTTTTTTACAAAATTATTCCAGTGATAAGTTATATGCACGTTCCTGGTAAATCTGTCGACACTTTTTTAATATTAAAATATGTGTACCTTTACTTTGTAGTACCTTTTACCACAAACTAACTTAAACAGATGCGACACCTTATGGGAAATTTTGTGTTCAAACAGATCTATGTTCGGAAGTGCGACGACAGAGCTGCGATACCGTCGATGAAGGCAAAATATTCGGCCAAACAGCCGTGGTGACTTCAAATCGTTCCCGCACACCCCCTTCTCTAAGCTTCCATTTCTTTCGTTCTTTCTCGCATTTAACCTTGCCTTTGATACACCGCGCCGCCTCGTCTGGCCGTCGCAGCCGACGTACGATTATAAAGTCAAAGCGAGATATATATATATATATATATATATATATATATATATATATATATATATATATATATATATATATATATATATATATATATATATATATATATATATATATATATATATATATATATATATATATATATATGTACTTGTATTAGCGCTTTCTCGTGGAAATAATAAATAACTATAATTACATGATGTTAGGAAATATCAGCTAATATTTATTTGTTAAGTATGAGAAATTTACAAACTTTAACAATGGGTTAAAATCAATACATATGTATAAAGAAAATGACGATATCTTTAAAATGAAAAATGATATAAAATATCAGAAATATAAAATTCTTAAAGAATAGGATCTTTGTTGTCAGCTTGCCGTTTGTATTTAGCTGTACTTCCAGCTGTTAATTTCAAATATTAAACTAAAGTCTATCTACTATTAGCCAGCTTAAATTATCTTTAATTATTGTTATATCCTGCTTGTTAATAGTTTTATGCACTACTATCATTTTATTTGATATTTTAAATTGATTTAAAATTTAGCAGCTGATCTTTTATATAGCAAATAGGGTACTTTTATGATACAGACACGGCATATTGTTTGCATGTGCCGTGATACCGATATAGTTTATACAAATTGGTAAGTAGAATTGGCAACAGTGTCCTATAAAAAGGAATATGGGAATCTAAGATGGGAATATTGAAGGTTTTCACTTTTCAGAGGATTTTTAAGTCAGTTTCTTCAGTTGTTTCACATGGATATTACATCATCATTATTATTAGCTGTTTCCGATTTTAATTTTCTGTTGGGTTTTGTTGGTTTACATTTAGTTAGTTCACGGTGTTCTTAGTATTGTTTTAGTTAATTCAGCTATTCAGTTTAAGTTTCTTGTTTTGATTTTATTTAAAATGCTTTTAAAAAAATGTGCATTCAATGGATGAGAAAACACTAAAAACTGAAGAAGATACATTTTTTAGATTTTCTAGGACTAAATTATATCAAAATCTGTGGGTGGTTTTTTCCGAAAATACCTAGATTTTCTAATACGAAAAAAGCGAATAGACATACAGTTCGATCAAATAATCGACTTATTAACTACATAAACTTTGTAAAAATATTATACTTCTATGCCAGGTAGTAATAAATTTTCATGCCAACTTTCACCCCTATATCATCCCCGAGATGAGGAATTTTCAAAAATTTCCATTAACATACAAACTGAATAAAATGTTCTCACATTTATGTCCTAAGCCTGAGAAAAAACAATAAGGCGATATTATTATATAACTTGGTAATATTTGACGGGTAGTTTCATCTCGTTGGAATTTGACTTTCGAAAAATCTGTTTGTCAAAAAATAATTTTTTTTACGTCATGCAGTTAAGCAGAATCGTAGTTAATCAATGACCCAACTTTTTGGAACACCCAGTATGATTTTTTGAAAAAATTCAAAATATGTAAAAAAACAAAATAAATTATGCGTGTCCAAGCGTTTTCCCGAAAGACTAACCGTTTTTTAAATAACAAATATTGTAATATTTGAGGGGCATTTTCACCCTCTTGGAATCGAGAAACCCCTCCTTATGGAATCTCTACACCCCACAGTCAATCCGTTTGCCAAAAATCATCAGCTTTAAACGTCAAGCAGTTTAAGCAAAATCGTGATTACTCAATGGTCATATTTTATAAAACACCCTGTATAAATTTTTAAAAAATCTTAAAATATGTAAAACAACAAAATAAAATATACGTTTTTAAGAGCTTTTCCGAAAAACTCATCGGTTTTTAAATAAAAAATATTCTAATATTTGAGGGGTGGTTTCACCCCCTTAGAATTCGAGTTAAAAAATTTATGTAAAAAAACAAAATAACATATACGTGTTTAAGCGTTTTTTCGGAAACTTGACCGTTTTTTAAATAAAAAATATTGTAATATTTAAGGGATGGTTTCACCCCCTTGGAACTGGAATTTCGAAAAATTTCTTCTTTTCGAACCTCTACACCCTAGAATCAACCTGTATGCCAAAATTGAGCTTCTTACGTTGAGTGGTTTGAGCAGGATCGTGATTAATCAGTGAGTCAGTCACTTAAGAATTTTATATATTAGCAGGTATAGATTGTGAATGTATCAAAAATTGAAAAAAAACTAATGAAATTAAAATCATCTCTATTTGATTCCGAACTACAAAATTCCCTCTCTATTTTCTACACAAAGGAGGCGTGGCTTCTTAGTAAACGAATGGAGGTTACTTTGCTGGTCCGCTGTAAAATTCGCCTATATGACAAATCTAACGGAAAAATTTGCCTGGCGCATTCGCCAAAATGTAATTTTCACATTTGCATTGTTTGTCGCATCTGTTTAGGTTAGTCTGTGCTTTTACCTTCAAAATATTATTCAAATCGCTAAAAGCGCTTAGAAGAAAATTACATAATTTGTATAATATATCGAAAAAAATAAAACTTTAACCCCCTATAGCTACGTTACAAAGCAGAATCGGAACTATGTTGATATAGAAAATAAGTCTTTGTTATTTGTTTTGACACATCCTGTATATTTTATAAATAAAATTATTATGGCGCAATTATCTTCTTTCGTGAATCGGACTATACATTAATGAATTCATACAAACTGTCTAATAAACTGCGGTACTTACATTGAGGTACACTGAATCCCAACTCCAACGTCCACTGTTGCAACATCTTCACGAACGTTGCCAAACTGTTTCCGCCATTCAGAGACGCGGCAATGGCGATATATTGATTATTAAAGTATGGAAAATAATCGACAGAAGATTGAGTTGGAGGTCCTGCTGGAGGGATATAATTTTCAGCTACAAAAGTGATTTGAGCTGATGTTGATATATTCAAGACTGCGTCTGATGGGTTTTCCAAGGTGGATAAAACAGAACATTGAATATCTCCGTAGCCCATTCCTAATGATAAACATTAATATCCTAATGATAACTATATGTTGATCCTAGCCTTTAACTTTTTTTATTATATTTTTATGCTACCACTGTCAAAACAGCGAACAGCGATGGCTATGAAATAAAGTTCTCTGTCATTTTAGATGTAAAATTATATAGGCAATGTCATCGATCGTTATTTCCAAGCCAACTGGACGCTGTTTTTTTCGATCATACAGTTTAAATAAATAAATGCCTTTATTGTCAAAAAATTTTACAATTTGTAGACAAAGGTAAAGTAAGCAAACAAAGTAAACAAACAAACAAAAGAGAATACAAAACATTATAAAATAACATTGTCAGTCTTATTGTTTAAAATAAAGATTTATAAATGTTTGCAATGTCAAAGAACAAAAAAATAAAAATAAGATTCAAAAATATTTAGTTAGTTTATACTAAATATCAATGACCTGTAGATAAATTTACCTCGATGTCATTGTTAAATATAGTAATAGAAAACATTAGACCAGTGTTTACAATATCAAATTCGATTATCAAAATATAAGTCATTTACGGCGTAGAAAGCCTTGTCTAGTAAATAAGATTTCAATGCTTTGCGAAATGACGTTATGGATTTGATTTCAAATGGCAGGTGATTGTGCATTTTTTTCGATTTGTATAATATTGAACTTTTAACGAACTCTGAGCGTCTGGTAGGCAGATAAAGATCTTGCTCCGCGTTCCTGAGCGGATAAGTGTGAGATGGCCTTTCTTGAAGAGCTGATACATGCTTACGTATTAGGCAAACGGATTCAAATATAAATCAGGAAGGAAGAGTTAATATTTTTAATTTTAAAAAGTCCTGGCAATGAGTTCTGCTGTTTAGTCCCAGTAAGATATCGAACAGCTCTTCTGGAGCTTGAAAATGCAGTCAAATTAAGTCGCACAACACGTACTTAGAATGAGAGGGCATATCTGAGGTGCGACTCAAAGTGCATAATAGTAGTTCTAGCCACTCTGAAAAGTTAAGCTCCTTGGAAACAGATCTTAATGCAAAACAGGCAGATCTTCATTTTTTCGACAAAGCGTCGATATGTATGTCCCATTTCAGTGAATTGTCTACAACAAGCCCTAAGAAGTTTACAGATTTTACGACGTCAATGGTGGTATTGTTAAGTACAAAAGGCTGCAGTGTGTTTTTATACGACAAAGCGTTAGTTTTAGAAATGTTGAGACTCAGGAGGTTCGAATCGCATTAAGATTTAATGGTGATTAGGTCACTTGATATAATCCACAGAAGTGCAGTGACGTCCTTGTTACTCCAAGTGAAGCTAATGTCGTCCGCAAAAAGACATATTTACCACTGATGTTTTATGTTAGCAATGTCGTTAATAAAAGAAGAAGCAACATAGTGCCTAGTACTGAGCCTTGTGGTACTCCACATTCTATTGTCTTGCTAGAAGACAACGTGGTATGATGACGGTAGCTAGTTAATAAATTATTCATTATTATTTAAATAATTATAATTATACATTTTTAGATAATAATAAATAATAAATATACTAATTTGGAAATATGTTTGACAGGGACATATTTAATTTAGAAGTGGCCTATTCAATATTTTTTACCAGATCTTAATCGGGATTAGCACATCAAAGGAATCAAAATCGCAACGTATATCTCTCATGCATATCTCATGCAACTCTTTTATCATTTGATAACAGCATTTTCAAAAAAAAAGAGATAAAGAGAAAGACCAAACAAACCAAACCAAACCAAAAAGGACTGAAAAATCAATCTAGTTTTAATCGATGTTTTTCGTAAAAAAAAAAAACTTTATAATATTTTTATATAGAAAACCATATTGAAAGACATTTGAATGTTTGAAAAATATATAGGAGTAACTGCTAATTTACCAATAGGTGTTCCTTTAGGTATGCCATGCCAACTGTCAACCAAACGACCAGCCAATTGACTTGTATCCCTAATATCTGGGAGTAAATCTACTGGAAATCCCGATCCTTTCAACAATTCTGTGTTCCAGGAGTTGGTTTTGCAGTCGAAATATCCCCAAGAGGCCGCATTTTGATTGGCCATCACTGGTTTGTCCAGATTACACAAGATGGCAATAGCAAAGTCAGTAATTGTGCCTGCGCAGTTGTACTTCTTCAGTTTTTCTGGTCTAAATAAAAACAGAAAAGTATGTTTAAGTAATGCCTATTATTTGTGGTAAGTGAATTAAGGTAATTGTTACCTCTAAAAAACACACTACTTAAAATCAACATTTGAAAATTTGAAAATGAAAGCATATATTATTTGTGCACGAACTCTCTATGATTTTTTATGAAACATGTCTCTTGGTAAAAATCGCTACGAGCAACCGTTCTCAAGATATTTAAAATGGAAATAGTCAATATATGTCACTATTGACAAAAAAAACATGTTCAGTGAATGGATTATTTGAATGAAATGATAAATTTGAGAACTTTTTATTTTTTTTTTAAATTAATCACAGTAAGTTTCTGTTGAACTTTTGGCTCAAAACATTTCAAATTTATGATTTTAGTTTAATATCCTATTTAGTCCACATGTTTAATTTATGTCACTGATGTCATGTTGAATGTTTAATTTACGCCAATAATATCACAGGCAAGAGACTTTTTAATACCAAAACATCGTAAATATACTTTTTTTACTCAGTAGTTTTATACAGGTACGGAAGAAAAGTTACTCTTCAAACTAGGTAAAAAATATGTAGGCGGTGCCCAAGGATGGTGCCGTTTACAAATAGGAGTCATATTGACATCAAATCAAATTTCTCATATCAAAAACTCGCAGACACCAATATTCATCCAAATATTAACGTTACTTCAGAAATTATTTGGAAAAAAATCGAAAAATAAAATTTCTACACCCTGTATCTCGAAACTAAGCATTTTAGGACATACATTTATATGAAATTTTTACTTATTTTATCTGCAGAATATGCTGTCGAAGTTTCCGGAATACAGTTCCGGACCACCCTGTATTTTACTCTCAGAGTTCATATTTGAAGAAATCCAGTTCAGTATTTCAGTTATATCGCACAGGCCTGTGCAAACCTTATTTGTACAAGCCTATCGGCACGTGTGTGGGAACTTTCGGATAAATATGCAGGCGGTTGGTCTGACCTGCGAGAAATCAGCCTCCTGAATTTGGCCTGCACAAACTTCGAAGCCTGAACGTGTGTGTGCTCGTTCATTTATTTTTATTCAGACCATAAACAAAGTTCAGTTTAAACTTGAAATAAAATTGTCGAACTTAAATAAACTCTTTTTATGTCAATTTATCGAATTATGTAAAAGTTTGCCATGTCTATTCAAAATAAAAGTAAGAACCCAACAAAGATTTGAAGGTAAAATTACGTTAAAATAACCACCTGGACTATTATTGACCAACTGCAAATTGGTCGAATTTACCAGGATTGACGTTAAAAGTCCCAAAGTGAAATAAAACTAAAGTAATTGTGGTTAAAGTTAAAGTGGATTACACAGGATTGCCAAGATAATTATGTCTGCGAAGAAAATTTTTCTGTGAGATGTAAATATGATAGGCCCTAAAAGATTATGCGCCATTAAAATTTTATGTATTTTCAACAATTCATTTTAGAATAAATCGTCACTTTCAAGGATCAAACCAAAATGTGTACACCAGAAATCCACTTTTGATAAATAAATCCAAGGAAATCCACAGAAATCCAAAGAAATCTAAAGAAATCCACAGAAATCAAAGGAAATCCATAGAAATACACAGAAATCTAAAGAAACCTAAAGGAATCCAAGGGAAACCCACAGAAATACACAGAAATCCAAAGAAATCTAAAAAAATCCACAGAAATCCACCGAAATCAAAATATTAGGTTGCATTTTAAATAGTAATATAATAATATAAAGTCGAGTATAAAGTGGATATTGTATATTTCAGGAGATTTCTATGACATATGACCAAAGTTATAAAAATTAGGTGGGTTTTATGTGAATAAACGTCTATTTCACTTACTATTAATATTATGCGGTGATTAGTATGTTTAAACGTCAAAATGAAATATAAAGTAATAGACTTGGGACCATTTAAGCTGCAGTTTGACAGAATTTGTTATATAGTAAGTTATTAATACAAAGGTCCTGTTGTTTTGTTCTTCTTTTTTTGTTTTTTTTTTTTTTTTTTTTTTTTTTTTTTTTTTTTTTTATTTGTTAAATGTAAAATAAAACTATTTCAGTATACAGTGAAAGTAGTATAGTATATACAGTATACAAAGTTGCCGATTTGTTCATTCAAAGAGACCTTTGTATTAATGACTTACTATATAACAAATTCTGTCAAACTGCAGCTCAAATGGTCCCCAAGTCTAATACTTTTTATTTCATTTTGACGTTTAAACTAACACTAATCACCGCATAATATTAATAGTAAGTGAAATAGACGTTTATTCACATAAAAAACTCCTCTAATTTTTTTTTATTAATTTAGTTTTTTTTTTTTTTTTTATTTATCTATTTATATCTATATCGACTTTATATTATTATAATGCCTTTAAAATACTATTTTTTTTTTTTTTTTTTTTTTTTTTTTTTTTTTTTTTTTTTTTTTTATTTTAGTTTTGTATTTCTGTGTATTTCTTTAGATTTCTTCATTATATGTATTTCTGTAGGTTTCTATGGATTTCTTTAAATTTAACTTTGGATTTCTGTGGACTCCTTAGTTTCTGTGGATTTCCTTGGATTTATTTACCAAAAGTGGATTTCTGGTGTACACATTTTTGTCAGGAAATCTACTAACATCTAGAGAAATCCACAGATATCTAATAGACATTCACAGAAATCCACGGAAATCCATTGAAATCCACAGACATCCATGGAAATCCACAGACATCCATGAAAATCCACAAAAATCACAGACATCCATGGAAATCCACGGAAATCCATATAGGTGTACACCAGAAATCCACAGGTGTTTACCCCTCGATCTAACCTAACTTTTTTTTTTTTTTTTTTTTTTTTTTTTTTAACACTTTTAAAGTTCTTAATTAGTTAATTTAACTTGTGGTAGGTACTATTATTCATAAACGTCTGTTTATTTTTTCTCAATAGTTTAGAACAATATCACAAAAATATTTTTTTGAAAACAAATTGGATAAGAAAATGGCCGCTAATGGTGTTTTTATTTCGTCTATGAAGTTAAGTTTTCCATAATTTTAAAACCTTAAAGTCCGTTTTCTTTTTATGAGGTTAAGATTTCTTTAAATTAATAACCTCAAAGGTCAAGATTTTCTTGCTTAAGGTATTTTTCCTTGGAGGTGCAAGTTAAAAAATGGACTTAGGTCGAAGCTCATTTCTAGAAAGCCTGACTTTTGGAATATCGCTGGAAAACAGAAAATTTTGATTTTCTTTCAGTGATAGTTGACAATGATATATTTTATGCTAAGTTCAGTAATTACATCTTCGAGCAATCCGATTAACTTTTCACAGTAATCATGTGTCCTAAAATGACAATATTTATTGAGAGTCACGTGACATGTCAACTTTATATCCTTTTGCTGGCCGATGCAATTACCGAACTAGCCTAAACTATAGAACACTAACTAACTAGAAAACCAACTGAGCTTTCTTTGCTTATTATTTTTAAAAGTTTTGTGTTTAGGATTCTCCAGTGTTATTATATTTTGTTTTACTGCACATAATGGACACGTTTAAGATTGTGTCATTAAAAAAACGCATTGAATATTCTTTCGCTCCCCACCAGTGGGAAGAAGGTAATGTGCTATGATGTAATAATCCCTCAAAAGCTATTTTAAACGGAAATCACCCGAGGAAATTAAAAAAGGTAATTTTAACCTGCCTTATGTCGGCTTTTCTTCGAAGTCAAAAACTAAGTTACTTTTACCTTTGAAGCATAATATGAGGTCAGAAATAAATTAAATGTTCAACCTAATTTGAACTCCTCCAAATAAGGTCTCATTTAGTTATTAACAACTAAATTTTAACCTAACTTGAAAACCAAACAATGCCTTCGACCCCCGAAGCAAATTTGAGGTTATAATAAGTAACATTTGACCTACTTTAGGTCCCTGTAGTCTTAATGCCCTCAATAGGTTATCAGTAACTAGATTTAACAATGCCAGCTAACTCCAACGTTGCTACTTTTAAAAGGCATAATTTTACAGGTTGTGTGCTAGTTTACGACCTTATTTTTAGATTCCTCGCACTTTATTCCCTACAAGAAATTTATTAAGTTCAATATAAGTAAAATTCAACCAAATAGTGGTTAATTTTCCGTGGTCAATAGTTTTTGTCCTTCCTGTGCTACTTGGGAAGTGCAGTGTGAAATCAAAAATTATTTATTACCCAAGCGAACAAAATGCGAGACAGAACTGTATCTCAGGAATATTCACAGTAAAAAAAAATAAAAAGAATCTAGGAAGTAACCGGAACCGTAACTTGGAATGGGTGTCTTCCAAAGGTCTAAGACACACGAAAAAGTTCCTCAGAACTCACCACCGAGTAAATCAAAGATTTCCCTTTATTTAAGTAAAACAATCTTCCGATTGTCACGGGGTTTCTAACAGGACACTGTCTCCTCAACGAACACCTCAGTAGGCTGAAGCTGAGAAACAACGGCAGATGCAGATTCTGTGGGAAAATGAAACACCAGATTACCTTATCACTGAGTGCAGCGAGATGACGACCATTCGTGCCATGAACTTTTGGTACGGCTGATGTCGAGGATAGAGAGCTGGCCCAGATACTGTGGAGCCACTGTACTGTCTCAGATACTGGCATTTCTTAAAGCCCTGAGACTATGATGAGTTATAACTCGTTATAGCTCAAGAAAAGTCGACACACAATATATCTTAAAGGTTGCGGTGATTAACTCCTCCTAAACATTCTACATTCTACACAGTAAAAAATGTTCGCAAGGAAACTATTGGTGTATCCCCTCAGTTCACTGTAGAGATAACTGTGATATAAAACTGCTTGTATGTGCGAAAGACAGTAGTACCGGGTGTCCCTCAAGAATAGCTCTCGGCTGTATTTCGGAAAGTATTAGTCGTAGAACTTGCGGAAAAAAATATTTATACCAACAGAAAGCATGGCTGCTGAAGTCATTTCTCGCGCAGCGGCCGCGTACCGTTATTAAAACAGCAGTGAAAGTATTATCACTTTGCCCAGATAACGGATACTATAAATAATAGATTCATAATCTTCAGTACATTTTGCATATTTTAGAACCATTTTCCCCTCTCTGCTAAAGTAAAGTGGTGGGGGGAAGGTTAGATCTATTTTGTTAATGGGGTCAGTTATTAACTTCCATTGGTTGATCGGAATTAACAGTGTGGCTCAGAAAGAGCAGCTTATTCTATATTATACCATATAAAATAAAATAAGTACATCAGGCGCCAGGGGGCGCTTTCTTACATTTTAACAAACATTACGCGTTTTTTCGAAAGCAATGTTTGATATATACTCTTAGCGATGTTCAAAGAGTACAAAGTTTGGTTCAGCGAAACCGCATCTTGATATCTTTCTTCAAACGAAAGTTATTAGCAAAAACTTATATTTATCACGAAAAAATAAGTCCCAATTAGGTAATTAAGGACTTATTTTTTTATTTTGAAAGATAAGGTTATCTTTCTAACACGGTAAAAGATTATTTCATTCAAAAAAAAAAAATAAAAATAAGATAAAAAAGATTATTTCATTCAAAATGATTAACGTACCAGAATACAATAATATTAGGTGTATTAATATCTAATAGTTAAGATAACAATGAAAGTAACTAAGAAACGACGCCTCTGTGAATTCATGGTAGGGCTTTGGAAAAAGTTGCTTTTAAAAAGACAGTTTAAACTCTCAAAATATTATTATAGTCAATTTGATAACCTCAGGAGCGTTTTTATCTTTGGATTGCTTTTCTAAAAATGCCTTTCTTCAAAAAAGAAAAACAAAAACGCTGCTAAGACTATCAAAAATGTTGATTTAATAACACTCTTTGATGTTTATACTATTACGTCAAAAGCGTCTTTTTTCTAAAGCCTACCATGACTTCACTGAGGCGTCGTTTTTTATTCACTGTCATTGATATATTAATTATTAGATATTAATACATCTGGTATTATCGTATATTTGGTATATATTGTCAGCATAAAGCAATCGTTTCTATCTTACTTTTTATTTTTTATTAGAATGGTCATAATCAAGAGGGCTATCAGAATCGTAAGCAAAAATATGTAATTAAGGGCCTATTTTTTCGTATTTATTATAATTTTGCTAATATCTTCGGTTTGAAAGAGGATATCCATATGCGGTTTTCGCTGACTTTTAAGCTTTTTATTACTCTTACTATCAGCTAAAATTACATATATACTATCGCATTTAATTTTTTGAAAAAATGTGTAATGTTTGTTAAATTGTAAGACAACGCCCCTAGCGTCTACGTTCAAAAGCTTATTATTATTGTTTATATGGTACAATATAGAGTAAGAACGCTCTTTAAACGAGCCCTAGCTTGTTGGATTCCGATCATCCAGTCCGGAGTTATTAATACTTATATAAAAACAGATTTAACCTCCCCCAATTCACTTTATTTTGGTAGATAAGGGAAAATGGTTAACAAAAATGTGAAAAAATTTACTGAAGATTATTAATCTATTATTTATAGTAACCGTTATCTAGGCAAATTGTGTAAAAACTCCGTTTTCTTATTTTATTAGCAGTTGCGCCCTCTAGCGGCCGCTATACAAACTTGAAAATACTTTCCAGCAATTTCTCAGCTATGCTCTCTCTTTAGTTATAAATATTTTTCCCTCAAGCTCTACGACTAATACTTTCCGAGATACAGCCGAGAGCTATTCTTAGTGGGACACCCTGTACAAGTTAAATTGCGAAAACTAACCTAGCTGCACAGTCAACCTATACTAAAGAACTGAGCATCTGTGGAGCTCTAAATGGTAAAACACAAAACAATTAAAGACATACTTTATTCCTGACCATCCAAAACAAGGTGGCACACCCAAATCCAGAAGCGATTCGGAGATGACTTTGAGGCGCTGGAATGGAGGCTAGGAATGCCGGATCACATCGGTTGTCTTGCCAGGTGTACAGAGCTGAAACTCGGTCTTTTACCACATCGAATCTTACACTTTTCTCTTTTCCCACGATTTCCCAAGCCTTCTGATCGTTGTCGTTCTTCCAGAACATGATCCCGTGCATCTGGCCGCATAATCCAATTCCACTAACCTTAAAAAAAATATTAACATTTCTATATAGTTAATTTAATCTTTTAACTAAATATAATAGGTAAAGTAGTACTCGATACAGGGTCCGGCAATGCGTCGGCATCTGTAGTTCTAGAATACCAAACTTAAGAATTTTGTTGCGAAAGAAAGTGCATATCTAAAGTATGTTCTAGGATGTATTCTAGAAAATATTTTAACTTCTATAGGCTGGCCAAAAAGTGTGGGTGGATCGAATGATTTTTTTTTAAATGGAACACCCTGTATACTATTGCATTTTGGGCTTTTTTTCAGATCACTTCACATAATTTGTTAAGATATGTTGTCTGGGAACAGAATTCCCGATATGTTTAGCATTAAGTTTGGCGAACTAGGCGCATCTTGTTGGTGCATCAGGAGACAAATCTGGTGTGATAGGTTTCATTGTTTTTTTTTATTGCACATTTTATAAATTAAATGTTATGTACTTTGTTACTTATTTACTTTTATTTATTATTATATATGTTTTATTTATATTATTTTTATGTACTTTTGTCGTACATGTCTAGTTTTAAGTAATTGTAATTATTGTATTTGTTTTCTTTAGGCCTTTGCATGTAGCTACCTCAATAGGTGTTTGTAATGAGTAAATAACAAATAAATAAATAAATAAAATAATCCTAAGATATGACTAAATATACTGCGATAGTTTCAGAGACATTAATAAATAAAAAATACATATTTTTGAGCCTTAAAAAATATTAAAATACAAGAACTGTCCTGAAATCAAACTGTATGAGAGATATGTATTTCCTTTAGATAGTCTGCACTTAACTCTGCTATAAATATGGTAATTAAAAATCACAGGATGTTCAAAAATTTTACGCCCGAGTTTACGTCAGACTTTCTAAAAATATAAAATAATTTTTATCATTTTTTTTTAAATGAATAATTCTATAAGTATTATTCTTTTAGTCGTAAAAAAAAAGTTTGTGTCATATGTCAAAATGACAAGTTTTAGAAAGAAACGGAGAACACAGTCTCATTAAGGATTATTTACAACTTTTATCTGAAAAAACTTTTGTCTAAAATAGATTATAGTAATGAAATTAGAACAATTTTTAAAATAGCCGAAATTTGTTTTTTTCGAAATATCTAGTAAGCCATGCAACTCTTTTTTTCAAAATCTGAAAGGCGCATGTTTACGACCCCACAAAACTGCAATTCTTTCCCATTTAACCGAATCTCTCCAGTAGTTTCCGAGATACCCATAGAGAACCTCGTAGAAAACTCACCCTGTATATTACGATTAAATATCCACCTAACTGTATTTTTTAACATTTCTGTTTAAATGTCGTTTTCTCCATACAAACAAAGGATATTTAATTTAGTTACCTTGCATTAAATAAATAACTTAAACTGTTAATTTAATATTTTACTACACCATTTGAAACGGGTCGTTTAATAATTATCTATAAATCACTAATTATAAAATTAGCGAGTCCATGTCAATTGTGTTGAAAACAATTGTCTAACAACAACATATACTTTAACGAAATTGGTATTTAAAATTGATTTAAAAAACACAATAGGTATAGAATAGTTCTATACATATTGTACTTGTATATTTTGCAATATTCTCTCTGGAGATTGAATAAAATTTAGGATATGTAAATAAATGTACATATTTGGAGTGTGATGATTTAAATATAATTAATAATTAATATAAAATGTTGATAAAGTACACATACTTTTAACTCTTTTCGTCATAGCGGAACAATATTCGTGAAAGCAATCGAATGTGATATTTTTAAATGTAATATGGCGCAAGTAAAAACATAGTTAATCTTATTAATCGTAAAAACAATTACTTAATCAAAATTAATTTAGAAAAAAAAATATTTGTTTAATTCTTTGGACAAATAATATTTTAAATTGTCAATGTTCCGTGCAACTTTACAACCAGCAGTTCCGCATGAGTATTTGTTTTTGGTGGAGCGGCGGAATTAAGTAATACATAGATATAGCCTGGTTACAAAAGCAGCTGTGGCTGCATTGGTAAGGCGGTCGTTTCGGGATCGAGGTGTACGGAATTCGAATTCTACAAATATAGCATTTCTTAATTTTTTACAGCTGCTTTTATTTTTTATTCGGTAACAGCAATCAAAACACACCTACGGCGATCCAAGGTTTCGCTTGCCAGTGGGGTATATAACCCGAATTTATTATTATTATTATTCAAAGCAGCTGTGGCTGCATTGGTAAGGCGGTCGTTTCGGGATCGAGGTGTACGGAATTCGAATTCTACAAATATAGCATTTCTTAATTTTTTTACAGCTGCTTTTATTTTTTTTATTCGGTAACAGCAATCAAAACACACCTACGGCGATCCAAGGTTTCGCTTGCCAGTGGGGTATATAACCTCGAATTTATTATTATTATTATTCAAAGCAGCTGTGGCTGCATTGGTAAGGCGGTCGTTTCGGGATCGAGGTGTACGGAATTCGAATTCTACAAATATAGCATTTCTTAATTTTTTTACAGCTGCTTTTTATTTTTTTCTCGGTAACAGCAATCAAAACACACCTACGGCGATCCAAGGTTTCGCTTGCCAGTGGGGTATATAACCTCGAATTTATTATTATTATTATTCAAAAGCAGCTGTGGCTGCATTGGTAAGGCGGTCGTTTCGGGATCGAGGTGTACGGAATTCGAATTCTACAAATATAGCATTTAATTTTTTACAGCTGTTTTATTTTTTTATGTCTGGTAACAGCAATCAAAACACACCTACGGCGATCCAAGGTTTCGCTTGCCAGTGGGGTATATAACCTCGAATTTATTATTATTATTATTCAAAAGCAGCTGTGGCTGCATTGGTAAGGCGGTCGTTTCGGGATCGAGGTGTACGGAATTCGAATTCTACAAATATAGCATTTCTTAATTTTTTTACAGCTGCTTTTATTTTTTATTCGGTAAAAAAAAACACAATCGGCCGGCGATCCGTTTCGCTTGCCAGTGGGGTATATAACCTCGAATTTATTATTATTATTATTCAAAAGCAGCTGTGGCTGCATTGGTAAGGCGGTCGTTTCGGGATCGAGGTGTACGGAATTCGAATTCTACAAATATAGCATTTCTTAATTTTTTACAGCTGCTTTTATTTTTTATTCGTAACAGCAATCAAAACACACCTACGGCGACCTGGGTTTCCCGCTTGCCAGTGGGGTATAAACCCGAATTTATTATTATTATTATTAAAATAGGTGCCCGGTGGCGTAGAGGTACAGGCTCTCGTCTACCAATCAAGGTGTGGGTTCGAATCCTACACCCGGCATTTCATCAGCCGACTATTTTTATTAAAGATTTAAAATAAAAATAGTTTGGGTACCTAGGTCGACTCCTGCTGCTAGCCTTAAATAAATAAATAAATAAATAAATAAATGCCTTTATTGTCAAAAAATTTTTCTACAGACAAAGGTAAACTAACAAACAAAGTAGAAAATAACAAGGTACACAAACAAACAAACAAAAAGATAATACAAAACATTATATAAATAATATTGTCAGTCTTTTATTAAGCTTAAAATAAACATTTATAAAATGTTTACAATGCCAAAGAAATTAAAAAAAAAAATTCTAATAATATTCAAAAATATTTAGCCAGTTTATAGTAAAATATCAATGACCTCTAAATAAATTAATTTCGATGTCATTAGTAAATATAGCAATATAGCAAACATTAGACCAGTGTTTTCAAGATCACCCGATTTTCAAATTCAAATATAATTCATTTACGGCGTAGAAAAACTTGTCTAGTAAATAATAGTTCAATGCTTTGCGAAATGAAAAAATGATGTTATGGATTTGATTTCAAAATGGCAGGTGATTGTGCATTTTTTCGAGTTGTATAATATTGAACTTTTTAACTAACTCTGGAGCGTGGGGTAGGTAGATAAAGATCTTGCTTCGTGTTCCTGAGTGGATAAGTATGTGAGATGGCCTTTCTTGAGAAGTTGATACATGCTTTCTTACGCATTAGGCAAACGGATTCAAACATAAATAAGGAAGGAAGAGTCAATATTCTTAATTCCCTAAAAAAAGGCCCGGCAATGAGTTCTGCTGTTTAGTCCTAGTGAATATCGAACAGCTCTCTGGAGCTTGAAAATGCAGTCAAATCGAGTCGCACAACACGTACCCCAGAATGGGAGGACATACCTGAGGTGCGACTCAAAGGGCATAATAAACAGTTCTAGCCACTGATAATAATCTGCCTTAAATAAGTACTTAGGATTCACAACCCTGAAGTAATACTAGGCGGTTGGAAGCGCAGTGCTAGCCACATTACCTTCCTTGTATACCGAACGGCTCTAGCATGGCAAGTTGTACCTTGCTAATCCCAAGGCGTTAAACGCTATATACGGAGTCATTATTATTATTAAAAATAGGCCAGTAAGCGAGGATACAAATAGAGTATTACCTCCGAATTCTAGACACCCGCATCGATTGACGTAAAATTTTAACAGTGCATAGAGATATATGTAAGAAACTAAAGTTACGTAGTAGCGATATGTGTTTTCACCCTGGGGTGAGTGCCACCCCTTCGGGGATGAAAAAATAAATCACAAATTTTATATGCAAAAATCAATAAAGGGCTGAATTCTATGCAAAAAATGTTCTTGTAACAATTTTTCGCTAGAAAAATTAATATTTTCCTAGCTATTTAGGGTTGAAAGTGTTGATTTTTCATCTAAAAACTGCATATTTTCTGCCACTTTATAATTTGAAAACCCTTGTGTTTTATCGCAAAATCCTCATATAAAGCAAAAAATGAAGCTTTTGGAATAACGAATCGATTCATTTTTGTTGATTACCGTAAGGTGTAAGAATAGCCGAGTTATCAATTTGTAAAGATGATTTTTTTTAAAATTATTTTCTGAAATAAAAAATTGCAACCTTTTATCGTTAAATAATGGCGAAATAGCACATTTTTCGAAGAAGCTGAATATAACTGTTTTTTAAAGT